CTTCCGAAACAAACCGACGTGTGATAGCAGCCTAATTACTTCTTGCTCATCAAAAAAACATTAAAATTAAGGAATATTGATTAACATGTAGACATAATGATACTCCTCTCAAGCAGACACTATGAAAAACATTTAACTGCATTTATTCTATTACATGAAATCTAGTTTACATTGGGAAAACTAAAAATAATCTTAACATCAGGATAAACAACCATATATCTCGCATTAAAAAATTTTCAAACAGTAAAAATAGTAATAATTGCACTACCAAAGAACTTGAATACGAACAATTCAGTCTTTTTGTTAAAAAAACGCAGAAGTACCAAAGGAAATAGGATATAGGTACAACTTTTCTTAATACAGTCAAAAGTCGTTAATCCGGACTCGTCGGACTTCGGCGATTCGGATTATACATCTCATTTTAATCTGGTAAGGTGGATGCCGAATTATAAATTAAAAATATGAAACCTTAATTTATGAAATAAAGAGCAATTATGATCTTAAGGGTATCAAAATTTACAAAAAAAAAGCGTAATATGATTTGTTTTTACTTATTAAACATTTTTTCAATGCAAGTTTGTTAAGTTTGGCTTCGTTTTATTATAATACTTCTCTTTATTCTATAACAGACATAATTTCTTTTCATTCGCAATTCTGCTTTCAAGTCCTATAATTGCTATTCGAGAATACCGACTAATTTGTCAATCGGATTTTTTGTTTTCAATAACCTCTGTGTCACTTCTTCACTATCGGAAGCGAATTATAATGACGAGGAATTGATTTAAATCATATCAAAGACGGAGTCAATCGAGATAAAATACTAAATTTAGTAAGGAATTAATCCAAATAAAATAAAAAAACGCTGCCCTGAAGACAAGGATAGTGCTAACAGATCAATTCCAATTCTTCCATGCCACGGGTTTCCCCCCTCCCCCACAGAGCAGCGTGAAAGATAAGCAGATTTCGGAATGGTTAGAGAAACAGGTAAACCTTTTATCATTTTTTGCAGCAATTCCACCTTTGTTGATAGACATTGAAAACTACTTTCGTTTGTAGATCCTTTGGGAGCTCTTGCATCGGAAATTCTATTGACATAATCGAAGTTCAAGCTTGCTTTTATAAAATTGCTCTAACAGTCTAAAAAATATAATCCAATTCAAAGATTAGTAACAACGCATCTGCAAAATTAACTGAAATAGATAATTAGATAATTTTAGCTTATACCATCCTTGATGCATAAATGCACATGCGTAATGTATATGCGCTTGCGCACACCATATAGGTAGGTCGTCAAGGCATGCGGAATTGTACTTGAGCCGGATTATGGTGTCCGAATTGTGACTTTTGACTGTATAGCCAAATTTTATTCATATTTGCATACATTAAATGTGCATGCGTAAACGTATTATTCGCATGCACACACGCACGTGCACAGCCGTAAAGGTCTTACGCGCATGCGTTAATGCCTATGCGCATGCGTCAACGCGATGCATGCGCAGAAAGTTTATAGCTTTGAAGTCCGGATTATGGGTGTCCAAATTAATGACTTTTGACTGTATTTTTGTAGAAGAGAGATTTCAATTTTTATTTTCCCTGACGAAGTGGCATTGAAGTTGATTGAATTCCTTTTCTGTTATGTTCATTTTTCTTTAAATTTCATTAATTTTTTTTTTAATTAGAATATTGCTTGTTGGAAAAGTTTTGTTTTTAACATCTTTTTAATTCTTTGTTGCATTTATAGGATTATATGAAATTTATTAATTATCAATTTTAGTTTTTGATCTTTGTGAAAAATTAGTTCTAAATTTCTTACTTTATGTCTTTACTGATAATTTTTCAGCAGCTTGCCCATTAGCCGCTGGTATTGCGTTGGCGCAGTGGTCAAAATAAATGCATATATAAATATAACTACCTAGATATTTTATACCGGCAGATGATTTTGTGTAGGGAATATTATGAAGATTGTTTCTGTAAAAAATATTTTCCTTCAACATTCATTTAGTTTACAATAATTAATCTCATACTTTAACCCCTAAATCGCCACGAAAAATGTACAAGATTCATTTCCCAATGCCTTGGTTTTTCTACACAGGCGCGCATAGTTTTGCGATGTATTAGGGGGAAAATAAGTGCAGGTTTTACTTTCTAAAATCTGTTTACTTTCACAAAATAAAGAATAAAAGAAAAATTAATGCACAAAATTTAATGTTAAAAGTATATAAAAAGATTAGTATATAAAAATGATGTTTTTAAAAAAAAGATCCCTAAAATGGAGTTTCGATCGATTCTTTTTTAGACCATAAAGTGTAATATCAGGTTTCAGTGTTATACCTGTGAAACAGTATGCCTAAACATATATTTCTTCTGAACTGGTTGAAGCCACGATTTTTCTTGATTTTCCTTTGGCAAGGTTTTGGTTCATATACTCATCTACAAAATGGTTAGTTTCAGTACATATGAAGCACGAGCAGTTCATCAAAAAATAATTCAAAAAGATAAATGAGTTTGAAACATCTGTTATCTTTCTTTATTCCTGGAACGTACTGCAAAAACTAAATGAAAATGGGGGACACAGAATAAAAAAAATACATTTTACTCAAACACCACCAGCCAATACCGCGCAGTCATTATTTTCACCGCTTTAGGCACACCCTCTATCCAATTTCTTCCCACACTTCTCTGAAATAGTATCCTCCTTTGCATACATTGTCAAGGTTATTGTGGTGTTGCATTCCAAAGCTTTGTGAATAATTTTACGGGTAGCAGTGCAAAGCAAATGATAGTAGTTTGGAAGCGGGTATATATATGCCCGTGGCAGTTAGCACATCGGCTGAGCAAGGCCTGTATATATATATATATATATATACGCCCGTGGCAGTTAAGGGGTTAAGCAAAATTTTTGACTGGGTATTTTTGCCGAAAATATTTAACGAAAGAATCACCGTCTTTATGAGTGATCTATTTTTAGTCAAGGTCACCGTTTATCAGAACATTAAATAAATCAGATGTTTATATTTGTGTTGGGAAAGAAGGGGAAAAGGTGTTGCACTGATGCAATGTCAGCAGGAAAGGGGTAATCTCCTTTTTTTATTCATTCCTTTTGATGTTCTGGTTCATGCTCTGGCTGCCTTAAAAATGCTTAGAATGAGGTATTTTACATTAGAAGAAGCCCCTCAAAGATTTTTTAATGAAGAAACAGAGGATGATAATTTTAATAATGACTAGAATGAAACTGATGTTGTTGTTACCCCCCCGTCCCCCCAGAAATAAGCTCGTGAAAGAAGAAGAAATGACAATTTTTTAATAATGATACGATATTTTACCAAGTGATTCTGCCAGGGAAGTTGAATTCACGTAAGATCGTTTCAGCCTTCTAAAAGCAGTGGTAGTCGTACGAAAAAGTTTAAAAGGAAATCTAAAACTTGAAATGGATAAAAAAAAACCGTCAGTTATGTCTCAGAAGAAATGAAGAAGAAGGAAGGGAAACTATAAAGACAAAATACATGGTAAAACTAATGAAGATTTCGATTTTCTTTTTGGTTCAGACATTTACTCTCTTCTTGTAGAACAGACGCAGCAGACAAACATAGATCCCCGGCCCAGATCCAACTTGCATACCCGTACGGGAGTTTGAATGTTTTTACCTCGTCCTCGTGGGCGCAACCCCCACAGGTTCCACCCGGCTTTATACAAAGCATTGGGCAGTACAAATCGTAGATATGAAATGAACTTAGTTTACCTCCATGCACCACTCCAGTGTGTGCTCTGACCACTCTGTCAGTCCCCGTCACGAGAATTGAATGAGGTCAAACCCCTTGGAACTTGGTCAGCGATCTCCAATCAAGCTCCTCCACAACCGAAGGAACAGACACGACAGTACCAGTATGGTCCCTGCCAAGCCTGAACCTACCTGATTACAATACTTGGGTTCTAGTCCTGTGAAGACAAATTATATGCCCCCGTGGTTGAGACTGCCTAGGTACAGATCCTAACCAGTACTTCCCAGGAATTCTCCTGAGTCAACACCGGGGGGGGGGGGTCTCTTGTAGAACAGACAAATAACGCTCAGCAAAAAAAAAAATTTATTTATATATACAAATATATACCCAAAATTTATTGCATCTGAAGCCTATAGAGAAGATTTATTGGAATTTTATTGCTTACGCATATCATTCTTTACCTCAAAAGAAATGTTTGGCTCTTGAAAGGATATTTCTGTCCCTATTGTGTTACGAAATCGATGTCACGTTTGCAGTACAGAATATGAACAGAATTTGCATTTAGCTGACAATAGTCCAAATTGACAATACTGATAAATTATCTAAGGTGAGACCATATCTAACTGACTAAATAAGAAATTCCAACATTTGGGTACATTTTTCATGATCTGATTATTGATGATCAAATGATTCCTTATCAAGTAACTTCAGCAAAGATGTTTTTTAAATGAAACCATAGATTTGGATACAAAGCATGCCCTGGCGTCATATGTGGATATGTTTCATTCACATTTATTCAGGTAAGTCCGATAGCTCAAATTACCAAATATGAAGAATTTGGGCTTGGGAAGTGTGGTGATAAATTTTGCTCAGTGTTGTGAACTCCTCCATCAAGCTATTTATTTTGATACTTTTTTACATCATTTCAGCTTCTCTTCATCTAAAAAATAGGTTTTCAGTGCTACAGGAACAATTCAGGAAAACTGCATACAAATGCCCACTATAAACTGTAAATGTGTCCATAAGAAAGGTAGGGTTTTATGATTTCCCAGTATAAAAGAAGAACCAAAATAATTTTTGTCCATTGGAACACAATTCGGCTTTGATAATTGTAGTTGTTGGTTGGTTCGCAACATTTGGAAAAATCAGCCCATAAAAACAATGTTCCCTTTAATTCAAAAATGCAGTACAGATCCTAACCAGTACTTCCCAAAGGTCTTCTTGTTATATTACATTATTTAGCAAGCCTCTTATCATGAAGAAAGGATACGAACAGAATTTGCATTTAGCTGACAATAGTCAAATTGACAATACTGATAAATTATCTAAGGTGAGACCATATCTAAACTGACTAAATAAGAAATTCCAACAATTTGGTACATTTTCTCATGATCTGATTATTGATGAGCAAATGATTCCTTATCAAGGTAAACATTCAGCAAAGATGTTTTTTAAAATGGAAACCTATAAGATTTGGATACAAAGCATGGACCCTGGCGTCATATGATGGATATGTGTTTCATTTCAACATTTATTCAGGTAAGTCGATAGCTCCAAAATTACCAGAATATGAAGAATTTGGGCTTGGAGGAAGTGTGGTGATAAATTTGCTCAGTGTTGTTGAAACTCCTGCCAATCATGCTATTTATTTTGAAACTTTTTTACATCATGGCTTCTGTATCTAAAAATAAAGGTTTCAGTGCTACAGGAACAATTCAGGAAAACTGCATACAAATGTGCCCACTAGAAACTGTAAAATGTGTCCATAAGAAAGGTAGGGGTTATTATGATTTCCAGTATGAAGAAGAAAACAAAATAATTTTTGTCCAGTGGAACACAATTCGGTTGTAATTGTTGTTGGTTGGTTCAACATTTGGAAAAATTCAGCCCATAAAAAATGTTTCCCTTTATTCAAAAATGCAAAGGAAAAAGGTTTTTATATATCAGTCTCATCTTATTGAAGAACACAATGCCAAAATGGGTGGAGTCAATTTATGTGATAATTTAAAAGCCAATTACAGAATAAGAGTTCGTGACAAAAAATGGTGGTGGACAATATTTACTAATTACATTGATGTAGTTGATAAATGCATGGAAATTCAAGACCTTTTGATTTCAGACACGAGATTGCATTCCTTTGCAACTCCTATGGAGTGTAGAATTAGAAATAGATCCGCACAGGAAACCTAAAATTCAGCATTAAAAAAAACTATTGCATGGTGATGTTAGGCATTTTATGTTAGGCATTTATTATTTTTTTAAAGTCTGAGATAACAAAAGACTTCGTTGTAAAGAGTGCCATAGCCATGTTTATAGATACAAAGTAATGTAATAGCTTATTCATGATTGTAGTGAAGCTTTTCATGTGTGAATCTTTCAGTTGAAATAATTTGTATTTGTAAAAATATAATGTATATTTAATATTAAATTAAATGCAAGTAAAGTGATTTGTAGATTTATAAAACGTATACAGCTAAACGAAATAGTACTCCACTCAATAGAAACATCGCACGATTACAATCCTACTCACTAAGTATCTGTAGTCTTATTCCGCTGACATTGTGCGAACGCAACACTCACTTTTTCACGTAAGAGCTTTTTTATTTTATTTTATTTATTTATTTTTTATTTTCAATGTAAATTTAGTTATATATAAATGCTTAATTTTATATTTGTTATTATTTTCATGAGAAAAGATTCATTCCTTGTAGTTTTGGCGGTTAATGGGTTAATGTGCAAAACCTAGGCATGTTTGTATTTTGTTTTTAAAAAATTTGTTTTGTAATTAATATAAAATCATATATATGTCATAGGCAGAGGGAAGTTTATTTGTTATGTGATGTTTAACTCTCATATACTGCTGTACAGTTTCCGGAAATAAGAGTAAATATACATTCATTAGTACAGTAGTTTTAAGATATTTGAACTGAAACCGTCAAAAATGATTTTTGCAATAAATGAATTGTATTAGTTTTATATAGCATAATTGGTATTTCTTCAGCTGAATTCTTTTATAACTTCTAGAATACCATTTACATTTTGTAGATATGCATGTTTGTCACTGAATAATTTCAGTATTAGTATTGTTGTTACTAATCTCACTTATCTGTATCGGAACAAATTATTAGCAGGGCAAGGAGTACTAGATTGCAGGTGTCATTTACCAGAGCGTTGAGTACCATGTAGATGACAGTCCGACTTTGCTCAGTTCTATCCCAGTTTTCTAGGGAAGTACGCTGGGAGACAGGTCCGAAGATCTCCTACCACAACCTCTCGAGAGGACTTTTGGCTCACCACATATTTTGAGTGCACCCATGCCACCCAGACACTAAACATTTACAAACATATGGTGCCTTTTCCGGGTTTCAAACCTAGCCCTTTCAGTATGACAGTCAGCGTCACTAACCACTTTCCCATCTGGGCAGCTCAGTGTCAGTATTCTTGGCATCAGAATTTTTTTTAACAAATTAACTATCATAATAGCTTTAATTTTTTATGTTTCAACAAATTAACTATTATAATAGCTTTAATTTTTTTATGTTATTTTGAGTTATAATTAATTTATTTTCTCTTTTTTACATGGTTTTGTTTTATCTCAAATTTATTGCATAAAACTAGTTTTTTATTAAAAAATGCTATTTATTTCTAGCTACGTATAACATTTAAAGTACAGTAAGACCCCACTTAATGTAGGGTATATGTTCCATCAAAGTAAAGCATAATATGAAACAGCTTTAAATGGAGTTATCTCATCATGTAAATAATGGGGTTAGGGGAAGATGGGTAGAAAATTGGTCAGGTATTTTACTATTAAATTTATTAATTATGTTTTTATAACAATAAAACAAAAATTTATTTCTCACAAATATAGAAACATAATAAACGAATATACATGTAAAAATAAATTAAATTCTAAGTCAATATGTTTACATTTCAGATCATTCAGTTTCTTCTGTAATTCCAATTTTCTGCCTTTTTATCAAGAAGTTATCTAATGTCATTTGCGTTTTCCTTTTTGTGCTCTGTAAGAAGTTGTTGATAAGTGGGTAAGGCATCCATAACACCCCATCTTGCCTCTGAGTATTCTCTCTTGTCTTTTAAGTGAAAACAGACTACTATGTACATGGAAAGGAGAACTATGCAAAAAAATTACAGAAAGATTTCCCAGAGAATGTGTTTCATTTTTTAAAGTATCATATAATCCTTAATTAATAATTAAAATTTGTATTTTAAATTGCTAAAGGTGTTTTCCTTTTGTATGTTAATAACGTTTGTCAACTATAATAAATATTGATGGTTTAGGAATCTTTTTTTTAAAAAAGGCCCTAAAACCACCAACCTGCACCTGATACGTAATTTTTTTATCTTTTAGCACCGATGTGGTTGTGTAGTGGCCCAGTTATTGCATGAGGAATAATTATTTTTTATTTCATATATTTGTTCATGTGTTTAATTATTTTATAAAATTAACTTTAATATTTTGTTAATATTCATATTTATATTTTTACGCTGAATGGCAATAAGTAGTTCATATTTATATTTAAATTTCTTTATGCTGAATAGCAACTAGTTCTAGTTCTGATTCATGATTGCTAGGTTTTTGGTTTCAAAACGTTGCTCGTAGCGTCCGCATTTCGATAGCTGGAAAATAAAATGCAATAACTTAGCTATTTGTTTATAATTCATGCTGTTACTAGTCATAAATTAATTTTAAACATTAGTAGCCAAGGCTACATCGTGGTGACCCGATTAAATTTTCGAAATGTCAACAAATGACTCTTCTGAAACTGCTATGAAAGATACGATGCAGTCATCGGAGCTTCATAAGGTGAGTGTAAAAATACCTCCTTTTTGGATTGATAAACCGGAAATATGGTTTTTTTCAAGTTGAAGCTCAGTTTAAAAAATTAGTAATATCGTTTCAGAAGAAACGAAATTTAATTATTTAGTTTCACAGCTTGAACCCAAGTTCGTCGAAAATATTTGGGACATTGTAACGAACGATAGTGCCACAAAATATTCGGATGCTAAAATTAGGTTATTACATTTATTCAAAGAAGTGAAAAATGTACGGATTTTAAACGTTTGATTACTGGTATCGAACTTGGAGACATGAAACCAAGCCACCTTTTTCAGAATTGAGATCAGTTGCTACTACAATGTGTCTGAAATCTAATCAAAACTTTATGGCTGGAGAAGCTACCTGACTCCATAAAAAATATTTATTAGTTAGTGATGAAGATGTAACCAAGTTAGCGTCTATGGCAGATAAAATTAGTGATATGAATCGGAAACCAGAAGTATTTAGTGCTAATGCTCCTTCCGTTGCCCGCAAATGATTTGTTGCAAAGAATTACCTTTCTTGAACAAAAAATTGATCAAATAACCATTCGCTCAAGACGCAGGGACTCGGATTTACGTAATTCACGTTCACGAAATCTCGAAGCCGATCTCGTAAACGATATGACCCTACTGGCAAACTTTGTTTTTATATCACTTTCGTTTTGGAGCAAAATGCATTCCAGAGAAATGCAAGCCTCCGTGTGCTTGGGTAAAAACGATTTCCCAAAAACCAGGAAAACTCGAATCTGCAGTAGGTTCAGCGGCAAACGCTGCTGCAGAAAATTATGAAGGATTGTCGCAAATTTCGTTTATTCGTTCGTGACCGAAGATCAAATTTGCACTTTCTTATTGATAGCGGAGCTGACGTAAGCATAATTCCTGCTACTTCACAGAATAAATGTAAAACTGAATATAAACTGTATGCAGCTAATGGCACAGATATTTCCACTTATGGCATAAAAATGCTAACTCTTGATTTGGGATTACGTCGTGATTTTCAGTTTTCCATTCATAATTGCTGATGTCCCAAAAGGTATTTTAGGAGCTGACTTTCTTCACAAATATAAATTGCTTATCGATATAAATAAGCAAAAATTAATTGATGGAGTAACACAGCTTTGTGTCCAGTGTGATGTCGCTGCTATTTCCAGTGATTACTCAGTAACCACATTAAATAAATCCATAAAAATTTTCGATTTACTGTCGAAATATCCCGAAATTTCTAAACCTAATTAATTCCTACACAAAACTAAAACTTTTCCTACACAAATTAAACATGGTGTTACACATTTTATTACGACTGATGGTCAACCCGTTTTTATTCAAAGGCACGACAGCTCGATCCAAAATGCTTAGCTATAGCTAAAGAGGAAATTTAAATTTATGTACTTGACAATGGAATAATTCGTCCATCAAACTCCCAGTGGTCAAGCCCCTTGCACCTTGACTTCACGAAAAGGATATGGTCTCGTATGCTTGTCCTTGTTG